GGAGATGATTCGTTTACTCCTTCACCTAAAAGTGAAAGAGATAATAATGATTTTCGTAAAAAGCCAGCATTAGTGTTCGACCAAAGGCGAGATAATAATAATAATAATAATCAGAGCAACAGTAGTAATCAGTCTGATTTTGATCCGGCAAACCGATCATTTAAACAACCACCGGGATCTTGCCCCGTTTGTCATAAAAAATGACACTGAAAACGAGATTGCCCGGTCCGTTGTCATATTTGTAAACAAACTGGACACAACGCAATGTCTGTTCACAAAAACAGAACAGTAATCCACACAATCCGTCTACCGCACCTCGTTATTCGGGTGACGATCCTAAAAATGCGCAAAAATCTAATAATTTAAACTAGAAAGGGAGCGGCTAAGTGAGGATAAGCCAATCTCCCATTCTGTTTATCAATCCTCATTTGTACAATCTAAAGAGAGAGGCAAGATAGAAGCTCTAAAATCTCTTGCACATTGTTGAAGTCGAGTCATTGTGGAGATAATTTTTCTCAATCCAATTCTGATCCTCTACATCTTTCTCCTTCCCCTTTTTCATCGAAAACATCTTCAACTGTGTTGTTACCACCATCTGCTATTCTAGAATTAAGTCTTTCTCAGCCGGACTCTTCTTCAGAATCTCCTTCATTCAACACAAAGAAATCAAAGAAAAGAAAAAGAAGACAGAAAAAGTTAGACAGCAAAGATGAGCCTGAAAAGGAAACCCTATCTGCTTCATCGTCTGAATTTTCCGGTTTTATTACTACCATTCATAAATTAGAGAGCAAAATCAAAGAAAATATCATTTCATCAAATAATTCTTACACAATTAAACGAGGTTGTGCCTGCGCCAAAGGAAAATTACTTGAAACAGTCGGGATTTTCACTTCAGACACTAGTACTGGTGTTAGTGTAGTCAGTTTAGATTATTGGCATCTTTTAAAAGGTGCTGAGGCAATTATTTCTTATTAGGGTGTCGATATTGTCGGGCCTGAAGGCAGTTCTATTGAGCCAGTTGGCTAGGTAGAAGCTAGTATAGCCATAGCTGGCCAAAATTTCCATCAGCCGGTTATCCTCGCACGTACATTCAACCAAAAAGTGTTACTAGATTTTATGTTTGAAACGGGTCTAGTACTCGATATTCAGGATCGCAAGTTTTGGTTTAGAGACAAGCCTTTGACCAAATTTCTTCTATCTACCGATTTACATCAATCAGGCAGATTAGATATTCCTGTTTATGCCTTAGAAAAGAAAAGATTGCCCCTTTTTCATCAGACTTTTGTTTCTGTTAGAACACCATCAGAGAGAAGTGATCAGAAGTAGGAAGCATCTACTACAGGTGTAAACACACGCTTATCTACAGCTGACAGCATTGGCACAGTTGATAAGAATATAACCACGGTGATGGTTGCAAATCTGACTTCACGATGGACATATATCCGTTCTAGACAGAAGTTGGCTTATTTTGACCCATTTTCGTCTGTTTTTAGTGCACAAACATTCGAAGGAGACGTTGATACATCTACAAACAATTCAGGGGAATCACCGAAGCCCAAAGTAAAAGAAGGATTTAATTCAGATCAAATAAGCAACATCGAACAAGTTTCGCCATACCCGTCTATTAAAAATTTGAAAAGCGAAATTCCATCTGATACTGATGTCATAGAGTCTGATTTTGGTTCGTTATTTTCGCTTTCTGCTTTTTCCATTGTTAAAGATCATAGTGTAGATGTAGGGCCAGAATCTTCTATGAATGTGTTCATACATTCTTTAGCGTAGAAGACAAGTTTCACAGATTCGAAAACAGACAGTTTTCAGTCTTCGGTTTTAAATCTCACCAATAAGTTAAAATCAACCGCTAGGACAGTTAATAAAACAGATTATCCAGATGAGTTGTTTTCAAAACTCGATTTAACATCACCCGATCTTTTTGTAGAGCAAGAAAAACAGTTAAGGCATGTGTTACATCAGTATTCAGATATTTTCTCTTCACAAACAGGTCGTACTAATGTATTCAAACATCATATTGACGTTGGTAATTCAAAGCCAATCAAACGTGGCCCATACAGATTATTGAACCCTGAAAAAAAGACATCATACGTTAAACAAACAGCTGAAATGTTCGACGGTGGCATCTGTGAGCCGAGCTTTGGTCCGTGGGGGAGTCCCGTGACTCCTGTTCCCAAAAAGGACGGCACTCTTCGTTTTTGTGTTGATTTTCGTAAACTGAACGAAATCACCGTGAAGGATACATATCCAATTCCAAGAATTGATGATACACTAGATGTGCTAAATGGTGCAAAATATTTCAGCACCATAGACCTCTCATCAGGATTTTTGCAAGTCGAGCTAGATAAAGAGAGTAAGGAAAAAACAGCTTTTGTAACACATGAAGGTATTTTTCAGTTTAATGTGATGCCGTTTGGGCTCACTAATGCGCCAGCAACATTCCACCGATTCATGGATCTTGTGCTTCGAGGTTTGAAGTGGAACTGTTGTTTAGTGTATTTGGATGATGTAATAATTTACTCGGCAACTTTTGAGCAACATCTTGAGGATATACATAGTGTTCTAGAGCGCATTAAAATCAATGATTTAACATTAAAACCATCAAAATGTTTCTTTGCTCGACAAGAACTTAAATATTTAGGTCATATTGTAAGTGCGCAGGGCATTAGACCAGATCCAGAAAAGTTAGAAGCTGTAAGATCATTTCCTAGCCCTGGTACGGCAAAAGATGTCCGCGCTTTTCTAGAACTAACCGGCTATTATAGGCGATTTATCAAAAATTATGCAGAAGTTGCAGAATCTTTGTTTACTTCTATTCGAGAAAAACACAATTCAATTTTCGCGTTCACACCAGAATGTCAGCAAGCTTTTGAACTATTGAAACAACGTCTCATTTCTGCACCAATAGTTGCTTATCCAAATTTTGATTATCCATTTTTATTACAGTTAGATGCTTGCGACCATGGTTTAAGTGCTGTGCTAGCTCAGAATATTGATGGCATTGAACATGTCATCGCCTACGCAAGCAGAACTCTGCAACCATGCGAAAGGTAATATTCAGCGTCTGAACGTGAGTGTTTAGCCATTGTTTGAGGTACCCAACATTTTCGACTATATTTAGAGGGTCGTCCATTTGAAGTCTGGACAGATCATAGCTCTTTGCAATGGTTAAGAAACATAAAAGATCCTACAAGTCTTCTAGCGAGATGGGCTATAAAATTCGATGCTTATGACATGATTATTAAACATCGTTCTGGCAAATATAATGCCAATGCAGATAGTCTTTCTAGATATCCTTTAAAATCTGAGGTAGTAGCAGCGCTACAAACAAATGGCATATTTATCAGTGCTCTACAAGAGAATTAAGAAGTTGCAGTTAATATCTAGAAGCATTGTAATGTTTTAGATGATATAAAATTGGCTCAACGCCAAGATAAGGAATATAGTGCTCTTATTTCATTTATTCATGATATTCGTGCCGATGACGGCATTCTATGTAGAAAATTAGAAAATCTTGCAAAAATCCATAAAGTTGTTGATGGGAAATTATACAGAGTCAAAAAATTTGACGAAGATCCTCCTCTTAAAAACAATCTTACCCCTCATCTTCTTGTCATTCCTAAATCAAAACGTCTTGAGATTCTCAAATTAGCTCATGATCACCCAGTTTTATTTTCAATGATTAACTACAGTAGAAGTGGAATTTACATATATTTGAATGGTATTACATCAATAGTTAAAGCTTATAGTGATTTAGAAGCAGCAACAGGAGTTAGTATGATCAATACAAATCATCGTACATTAGTAACATCGGTAGAAAATTTAGGTACGTCCGATACGAATACTCCATTATAAGAACGACACGATAACAACTCTCCTATCTACGAATTCGGTACAGTTCTAACAGCAAACACAGACAGTGCACCTCGGACTCTAAGTAATACATTTTCTTCAATAGCTTAAAACAGAAGATAAAAATAGGATTTCAACTTTAATAATCCTCTTTTGACACATTGATGATGGTAACATAAGTAGAAAGGTTAGATTTCTCTTCTCTTTGCTAACAGGAGTTAGTATGATCAATACAAATCATCGTACATTAGTAACATCGGTAGAAAATTTAGGTACGTCCGATACGAATACGGTAGATCGATGCGGTAGATCTTTTCTTCAGCTTATTTGCTCAAACAAAGGAAACTTAACTATCTTCAACCTTGAGATTAGAGCACATAAAATTTCGATAAACTACTTCGATGTCTGATGAGTCATGGTGAAACCTATCTTAGTCATTCATAAAACGATAAATAATGCCAGTATCATACATCAAATCTCTTTGTTTTCAACTCAAATTTGTTTCAAACTTCAGATTTCTATGATGTACATGAATAAGATAAGATAAATAGAATGGACTGTATCATGTAAATGTATTTTTATATTGTAAGGTGTTTGTAAGGTGTTTATAAGGTGTTTTTATATTATAAGGCTTTGTGTTGAAGTAAATAGAGTTAGACAGAAGGAAATGCAGTCTTGCTTTAGAAGAAAACTGCTTAGAATATTTATCTCTCTTTTTAGTTTTACTCCAATTTTTAAAAGCATAAAAGTTTACTCCGCAATTGACTTCAAAGCCTCCGATGTATCGGCGCCCCTCGGAAACAAGTCATTCCTTTTCGTTTGTTATTGTACGTGACAGAGATAAGATTCTCTACCTTTCTCTCTTGTATTTAGCTTGTTTAGTTCATCCTTCAAACGTTTCTTTTGTTTTACTTCATTGACACATACCACTGCTCTTCACCAAATTAAAAACAAATATGAATCAAAATTCGTTTGATGATGTAACAAAGGAATGTGCGCATATATTTGAATGGCATTACATCAATAGTTGAAGCTTATAGTGATTTAGAAGCAGCAACAGGAGTTAGTATGATCAATACAAATCATCGTACATTAGTAACATCGGTAGAAAATTTAGGTACGTCTGATACGAATACTCCATTATAAGAACGACAAGATAACCACTCTCCTATCTACGTACGGATAATTAAATAGAATTAAAGATTGTAATTTGATCCTTTTTTTATTCATCTGAAATAAATTGTTTTTGCTTCTTGAACGTCGACAAAAACAAAACACTTCCATCTTCAAAGTAGGAAAAGACTTCTGGGGTTTTCCCAGGGAAGACCGATGTATGCCACTTTCATTAGGAGCATAAAATATGTATAATCAAACATTCTACCGTTTACTATCAAGACTGAAGTTTGAGAACTGCGTGTGAAATATTACAACCTACTTTTCGACTAAAGACCGAACTTCAAAGATCTGTCTCTGTCAGAAAATATCAAGAATGATCAGTTTCTAAGCAGATCATTTGCAAAACTGAAGTTTTCATAGTGCTTTCACTACCTAATTACTTCTATCTTGAGCCTATAACTAGTTTTAACTGTAGAACGAAAAGAAAAAGTCTGAGATATTTTTCTATCAAACAATAGAGCCTTGTGCTTTGTTAAGAAAAATGAAAGCTTGCGCTCGATGCGGCAGTTCGCTCGCGCAGGAGAGTGAAGGAATCGTTTTAGACCATTAAGTGATGCGACTGATAGCAAGAATAGAGGGAAAATGATCCGAGTTCAAAGAATGAATTAAAAATCAACTCCAACACAAAACTATATTTTCATAAAAATCTTCGGACAGACGGTGATACTGAACAACACCATTGCTCTCACATCAAAAACTATAACATAACTACAGTTTTTTAAAGCGCTTCGGCAGAATTACAATTACTCTCTAATCCTAGATGGTAATATCACTCGAAGCAAATATTTTGGAGCGAAAATTTGGGTACAAAAAAGTTGTTCCGAACCGCCTTCTGGATCCCCTCATCAGAGCTTTTATCGGAGTTCTCTTTCTCTGATTCTGAATTGCAGAAATACGAAACTTTAAAAATTAATCTAAAAACCCAAAAAGTAAGTAAGTTAAAATTTGATAATTTTATTGAGATTCAAAAACAGAACTTTGAACAAATTTCGACATAAAAAAAGAAAATTTTTGAGACGGACGTTGGGTATGTCTTCGTATCCATATGGATTTTAGGAGTGGATGAGATCAAGTACAAGTTCTGTCGACTATTAAGTTGTATTCAAACTTGAAGAAATTGCATACACTTGGGCATTCTTCCATAGAGCAGACGGACATTTGTTTTTCTGAGTGAAAAAATGATTATTCTAGCATAATATGGTCTTACTATGTGTCAGATATCAGTAGAAGTGAAAAAAGTCGAAGTCAAAAAAAGATTTTTTTCGACAAAATATTCCCTTGCCCTGAATTTTTGTGAAAAAATGTTTTATTTGTAAAACTAACAAACTATATATCATTCGATGCAGTTTTTCGCGCTGATTCCGACTATGTATATATTGTTTTTATAAAGCTTTTCGGAAGATGAAAAGATTCAATAATACCTAAAAGCTAAGGTTTTTTAGAAAACGCATAAATCCTCAAGAAATGAGTTGAGAGATTTTGAGAGGTCATCATTGATTCAGCATGTGTCAAGGAACATTTTGATAAAAAAATAATCTGGATTAGACTTTAGCGCGCTTCAGCGCTGACATTTTAGTGAAGATCTATGTTTTTCATTCGAGTTATATTAATAAAAGTTTTTTTCTACCACTAATTATAATTATTTTTGAATAAAATAGCCCGCGAAATGACCTATCTAAACGTATGAAAAAAGGTTCGAAAATAATTATAATTAGTGGCAGCAAACACTTTAAAAAATAATTATTTTAAAAAATATTGTTAAGTTTTTGAACAAGGAACTATTATTAAAAGAATTCCTGTCCATTCCACAGTAACACGCTTTCTTTGATCTCTTTTCTTCTGATTCTAGTCTGCGAGATAGGAGACAATCAAGATTCGAAGAGATGCTGATATTGGAGAAGGAGATTTCGGTTCGTCTTTATCGCTTTTTGCTAATAATCACAGTACAGTTGAGAGGCCAGATCCTTTGACTGCCATCATAGTTCGTTCTTTAGCCGAGGAAACAGATCTTGCGCGTATTTCGCCAACCAATCCTCACTTTTATTCACAAACGGCTGAGAAGCAATTGAAGTCGTTCAGTGATTCTACAGATATACCTAGTGATTGGCTAACTAAACTTGATTTAGCTTCTTCTGGGTTTTTCTCGGATCAAGAAGACCAGTTGCGGCAGCTTCTTTTCAAATATCCAGACATTCTCTCGTCAAAGCCGGGTCGCACCAATGTAGTTAAACATCACATTGATGTTGGTGATGCTAGACCTATAAAACAAGGTTCGTATCGCCTCTTAAACCTGGAAAGGAAGGCAGAATGCACTCGACAGACTGCTGAGATGCTCAGAAGTGATGTAGCCGAGCCTAGTTTACACATATAGATTATAAACAAAGAAAAGAAAAGCGTAATTTCGTGTCTTTTTATGAAGATATATGAGTTCAAAATGTTGTAAGGTACCGACGATTCAAAAGTTTAACAGGATTTTTTTTCGTTGCTTATATCATTGTTAGCTAGAGCTCGTCCAGTCCTGCAAAAAACTTAGTTTTATATTTTTAAAAGTGGTTTTCGGATGAAAAACTTTGAAATTATTGACTTTTTAGAAATAGACAAAAACTAATGAAATTTCTAGTCATATTGACGAAGAAAATAAAAAGTAAATGGAGAAATACCGATAAATACGGTGAAAACTCATTTTAAACATGTTTTATAAAACGCTGTTTTCGCTTTACAGTTACCGGGCCAAGAGGCCAAATATTTTAAACAGATTAGACGAGCACCCATGTGGTCAGCGTGTATACAAGTTTAAGCAGATGTTTACACGGGAAAGTGGGAGAAAGAGATTAAGGAACAGCAGGTAGAGAAGGAGAAATTTATTTAACTTTGATTTTGACTTAACATCTTCTTCAGCGCTATCAGAAGAACTCAATTTATGATAAGATGTGGATCGAACTCTTCGTTTTCGTTGCAATTTTTGCTCTCAGTTTTGGTTCGGAAAGATGATCTAATTCTTTACCGGAAATTTTAGGCGATGTATTCAACGGCAAAGCTTTAGTTTATGTACTAGAATCACTTTTAACAATGGAAAGTGGATAAATTTTAGATCGATGACATGAAGTACATTCATCTAACAGCTTCGATTTCTCCCCTTTATCCTTACCATCCAGTGGTAGTGACTTTGCATGCTGAGAAATATCAAAATTTGAGGAATTAAAAAGATTTGGAGGCAAGGAGACAACGGATGCGCGTAAATTAGCAACAACAGTAATAGGTACATCGGTTGAAACTGATGTCATTGTTTTAACTGGTGTTAACTGTGTTTGAGATGCATTTTGTTGCTGGTTAAAAGAGCGAAGCAGAGCATCAGCCTGTATTTTCTGTGCATCTTTCATCATAGACATGGCTGCAATCATTAGTTTATTCATAGACTCCAGAATGTCATTTGAAACAAGCGAAGCGCGAGAAGCAGCTTTTGAAGTAGTGGATCTAACTGATCGACGCCGAGATGAAACAGAGGCTACTGAAGGCGCTGATGGAAGTTTCGGCTTTACGGAAACTACAGATTTATCGCATTCTAAAGAGGATGCATCGCGTTCAGTAGAGCTACCCAAACGCGGACCTTCTACTTTCTTATCCTTATCGATTGGTAATTCTCGAGACATTTCGAATTCTGATAAGGCTACGCTATCTCGAAAATTAGATTTACACTACCACCGCCTAAACAGTTTCAGCGAAATCTTACCGGAATATCCGAAACGTATTCGGAAAGATAAGATGTTACCGAAATACTAAGAGAACTTGAACGGCGGTGATGTAATTAATAGATAAAGAGGCGACGCCACTAATTTATAATTAATAGTAATAATAATAAGGGCGATGTTGTTAGTGGTGCTGATTGTACAAATCAGTGTTGTATCAGCATCTGGGACCTCCAATTTGTAGTAGCATGTTAGCCCTCCATAACTTGCTATAACAAAAACAATCCCCAGTTCGGTTTTACACACCAACAACAAATTATTATTATGATAAAATATTTTACAGAAAAGCTAATGTACAATGATGAAATAGTAACAGTTAATAATAATGTCTAACGGTTGTTGATGATAATAATTGATAATCGGCTTCTCTTCAATTGACGAAAGTTGATGAGGAGAAGGAGCGCAGAACGAAATTATAGTAATGCAAACGAAAACACTAAATTATATTTTATAATTTTAAAAAAATACTAAATATAAATTAAATGTGAGATTTAGTTATAAAATTATAGTAGTTTTTTTTCGCAGCATAGTAATGGATGCGAGGTGATATTGATATGGGGGGAGAGTCATCGAGAAAATCCCAGGATGGAAGAGGTGATGGTATGCCTCTATCAAAGTTTCATGGGAATCGGATGGACATAAGTGGTACGAGGATCTGCGGCTGCACAAGCACAGCTTTTTTTCCCGGAAACACCTGATGTAGTTCCGACAGAACTGCATTTTTTTCCTGAAACACTTCACGTATTTTCACAAGAACGCTGTCTACCGAGCACATAAAAAATACGTTCTCCGAAGTTTGCATTTTTATTGAGATCGTACTCGACAAGAAACTTGTATAAGAAGAAAAGACCAGGCGCAAATATTGTCACAGTCTAAATGCATGAGAATTGTTAGAATAACTGATTTCGTACAATTGTCCAGATTTTTTCTTCGATACGCGCGACTGTCAGATTATCGAAGGTCAACGGACTGAGTTTCGACAATTCACTATAGAACTCTTTCGAATAGTATTGTGGCAGCCGAGAGGCCGCTTCCAAAACAAGCGTTATACAAAACTTCATTATCGAAATACGAACATAGTGAGGCAGAGTCACACCATTTCGCCCAGTCGATACTGTTCGATGATCACCTTCAGATTTTGCATAGTTCGGTGCATAACAATGGTAGTGAATGAGACGAGCGGTCGGCGCGTCTAACATTTGCCCTTCGGCAATCGATTGAGTGAAAATTGTTCGATGATTGTTCTTCATGTCTTCATTGACGTCCTGTACAACCAATTACACAGAAGTATGTCGGTTTTCAGTGAAAACAAGTTTAGGATCAGACATGTAAAGGATTATTCTAATCAATACTTTTTTAAACTGCAAAACAGCAGAGTTAGAACCAAATGAAGGATAATTGGGAATAAAATATGTACCAGCAGCGTTTCAGTTCAGAGAGCAAATCAGAGATTTTCGAAGAACTCACCTGTAAATCGTCGAGCAGCTGTAGACCAAAGCCAAAATATTCCAAATATGCCATTGTCGCTCGTGTCAACCGTCCTTCGATCAGAAATCCGGCTGCAATCAACGATGCACCGCCTTTCTCTGCGCTTACTTGCTCGACCAGCTGCATTGTTGGTACGTCTCCATCGTCGGGTCGCGCATGTTGTAGCGTTGACTTTATTTGTGATTCATGAATAGTGGCCAAGCTCATGTACACGCATTTATACTCACCACGTTTCCAATCGTTTTCGATAAACCTCACCATATCGAATATCTTTCCAATTCGATCTGCATAAGGCTGTAACGAGGGTGGTAGTCGCAATTCAACCACATTCGATTGCTGTCCGTTGAAATGCAACTCTGGATCATAGTTGGGTTCGCCGATGAGTAATCGCTCGTGAAATACCCGTGCAAACTCCCTTTTCGCGTCTTGAGACATATCATTACAATCCACTAAATCATCTGTGTAGGGATAGAGCATACTATAGCCGAAGATCGAATCGGTCAGCACCAGTGCTCGACTCCGTTGCATTTGAAAAACAATCATGAACCATTCAAGACGGCTTGCTTTGAACAATTCGCCATCGTTGACAGTGGGATCATATCGTCGGCCTTTACTTCTTGATATAGGAACAAGAAAAGTACAAGAAATCCAGGACAACGGTCTATTCCCGTTGAGCACATGTCGCTTCTCTTTCTAGATGGATGCTCCTCTCAACATTGATGACA